AAGTGAAATGTGAATGACGAAAATTTATTTTTAAAAATTATTTTAAATAATTAAATTGAATTGTCCCGTGGCGAGTTGGCCACGCTGAGTTTGTCCCAAAAAGTGTCCCATGGTGAATTGGCTGTAGCAAGTTGGCCATGGCGAGTTGGGCGCAGAAAACCAAGGGCCCATTGTTTCAACCCTTAGCTACAAATATGCTCCATGCTCCTTTATTGGTAAAACAACTTGCATCACTAAAGATATATAGGTAATTCTAAAGATATATAGGTAACCACAATTGAGCCCAAAATTTCTGTTGCTAAGCAAGATAGTTAAGTAAATTTTCCTCATTTTATTATTTTTCTTGCCATAGTTATTAAGTGAATCATTGCAGTCGTTCAGTTAGTAACATGGTTGTTAAGTAAATATGGCTTCTCCATTGACTTTGCTTGTCAGAAGTTGTAAAAGGGGAATCACATCATCCCAGCACATGGCAACCGTCATAAACATGATTCAGTTGCCAAGCATCTGAACTTTGATCATGTGACCATGGGACCATGCTACAATAGCCACAAGTGTGAAAACTGGTTATGTCACTTTTTTCAGTGCCATTGTAACTTTGAACAGTCACTACACAAATTGTAGTAAGTCGAGGACTACCTGTACCCTGAGAACCTCTTGGGAGGAGCCATCTTGATTCTCTTCCTCGCATCCAAATATCTAAACTTCACTGTCTCTTGGTCCTCTGGAAGGCAACCCCTCCCTCTTGGGAATCCAGATACATTCCACTCCATTGCTCCTGTTAATTCAGAATCTGATTCCTTGGAGAGGCCCATAAATGGACCATTCCTTTAACAGTCTCGTTTCTCCCATCAAAACACAATGCAATGAATTGGGAATGTTAAGGCATTATGACACAAGATGCTGAGAAGGGTTTTACCAGCATCCTCAGAGGAGTGATCAGCAATAGCAATGCTGCATTTCGCTAACATTCTCCAAAGCCTTCCTGGTATGAAAGGGAGCCTGGTTGAGTTGACACCGAAAGGAGCTCGGTTATGCTTCAAAGGATCCAGTGCCCTGGATAAGTGCTGTTTTCTTACATAAGCACCAACTTAGAGCTGCTTCCTCCCCAAAGGAGAAGCTACAAAAGCCACGTTGCATGATTTTCTTGACATTTCTGGATATAAAATGGTATTTATGTAACCGGCAGGAGCAAAGAGTCCGTGAGAGCAATTTCAGTCAGCAAAAACATCCTGTTCCTCACGCGTGGGTTATATTTTTGTTTTCTTTCATGCTTTTTAGGCCATATTACCTCTAGGTCACTGCCTGAATCAATCCCTGCAGTTTTCAGAAGTGGTTTGGGTAGCCTGCTTGGGCTGTGGGAGAAGAACTGACCCAATGTCACCCCGTGTCAGGCCTTCAAGTTGGTCCAAGCCAAGAAACCAAAATCATCAATACAAATGCAGGACTACTTTTTCAACCGTAGCCCCTTTGTGACTTCAACTTCCAGAGGTGGTTTAGCTACCTAGCCCTTCAGCTGCAAAATTAAACCTGATACAACAAAGATGATGAGGGGTCTGGAGGCTAACATGTACAAAAACAGTTTCAGGATTTTGGTATGTTAAGTCTAATGAAAAGAAGGACTAGGGCTGATAGCAGTATTTTAATATTTGATGGGTTGCCACAAAGAAGGCAAGGTCAACCTATTTTCCAAAGCACCAGAAGGCAGAACAAGAATTAATGGATGGAAATTAATCCAGGAGAGAAGCAACCTAGGAGACATTTTTTGACAGTGAGCACAATTAACCAGTGGAATGGCTTCCCTCCAGAAGTTGTGGGTGTTCCATCACTGGAGGCTTTTAAGACTGGACAGCCACTTGTCTGGAATAGTACAGGGTCTCCCGTTTAAGCAGGAGTTTGGACTAGAAGACATCCAAGGTCCCTTCTAACTCTGTTTATTCTGTTATTTGGGTCTTCTGGTTTCTAGCCTGGTGCCTTGTTTCCCAACCTTGGCAACTTTTAAGATGTCTGGACTTCAGCTCCCAGAATTCACCAGCCAAGGTGCATGAGCTAAATGGAGGTTTGAAAAAAGCAGAATGAACCATTTATAGCAACACTGAAAAATGCTTTTTGGGTGGAAGACAATTCAATTCATCCACATATACAACAAGTAAATTGATGTAAACACTTAAATAACGACCCAGATAGAGTGTTAATCCCTACCCCTGCTGGTTAAAATATCTTTGGTTAGTTGCACTAATTTACCACAACACATTTTTAGGCAGGATCTCTACACTGTAATTTCCACTACAGGTGGATCATCTTAAAATAGGAGGATGAAAAGAAGAAGAAAAAAGGAACAAAGGAACTGCTGCTATCTTCTGTAAGTGGATAATACTTTGGTACACTGCAGAAGCAGCTTCCTAGCAAGTAATCAGAAAACAGGATCTTCAGATTTTAGGAATGGACAGATGATGTTATTCTTCATTAGCTCACTTTCTGTGGTCAGCATTCATTATTCACATCCCGCATCCATCGTTTGGAAACAAAAACTCATGTCTTAAGGAAATTATATCTGGTGTTTGACAATGCAGCCCCACATCACTGAAGCAAATTAAATCAGGGACGGGCCCAGCTGATTAAGCCACTGTGGAACGTCAGGGAAATCTTATTGTGAACATTCATTCAGCAAATTATGGTTAAGGAAACCACAATGAGCATGATACAAGAATCTAGTCAACGCTGTTTAGAAATTGCTTCCTATGGAACACGCAAAACATGCCTAGCAACCCAACTCTGCAAAGATAATCAAGCTAAACCATTCAGTGTCTTCCTCTCTGAAAAACATACATGCTCTAGAAAACACGGTCCTATTTCACTGAGATGAGGGTCTTCATTGTTGTACTGCTTCTCCAAGTCCCTTACAAAGCCCATCTGAAACCTGTAGATGTCTTCAATGTTGCCAAATATGATCTTCAGCTGCTCATCACTGAACATGTCTCTTCTCTTCCGACACTGCTTTAAATAACCCTGGAGGAAAATACAAAAAGAGACCAAGTTTACAAGTCAAGGATCCCATCACAAACAAGCTGTCTATTCCCCTAACCCCCTACAGCTGGACACTATAAAAATATTATCCCAAGATTAGTACAAGATTAGTAGAATTCAATCCTCAGTGTAATCAATATTTTGACCCCTACAAGATGGCTTGATAAAGAATCAGGGTCAATCCTTTGGCATAGTTGGGAGCCCCAATGAACCACACTCTAGTTCAGACTTGGTTTGCAAGTTGGTCAAAAATCCAGTGGTTCCAGCTGCAGAACAAACCAAGCTTCGTTAGAGTCAGATCCTGGAAGGGGGCTTGTGGTGTGTGTGCACAGCAAGATTTAGCAAAATGCTAAATGGTGCTGGATGGATGGATGGATGGATGGATGGA